TCTTAAAAATGTAATACAAAGCTAATCTGTTATACAGATAGCACAAAATGAAGATCTAAACTAAAAGAGATCTAAAGAAAGATAATCCAATCAAAATTATTATAAGAGTATATAGATAATTTAACTAAAAGATGAGATAAGAACTTAGAATTAGAGAAACTATCTTCTTTTATTATCTTGATAAGTTCAGTCATACTTATTATAAATTATATAAATTGTTCTGAATTTATCTTTACTAAAATTTTAATAAATAAAACTAAGATATATATATATGAAGTATATAGTATATAATATATAAGATATTAGAGAGTGATATTTATAATAATCATGTTTATTACTATTAAGTTATAAGATTATTTTGTTAATAAGATAAAATATAATATGAATAGTTTTAATTTTATAACTTATAATTATTTTTATTATTTAAAAGTATTTAGATTTGAAATTAAAAGTATAGAACAGACAAATTTTATTTATAAGAAAGAAATGAATATAAAATACAAATAAATTAATAAAGAATTTCTAATTAAAATATATATATATTAAATATAATTAATTAACTTAATTTGTATCTTCAGGGTGTAATTAATTATAATTTAAGAATAAATAAGAAAATAAAGAATTATTAAAAAGAATATCTAGTTAAAAATATTAATTATCTAAATTAATAATATAAGTACATATAGTAATCATTTGAATAACAATATACTAAATCTAATATATTAAATATATAATAATCATTTGTATATCCAGTATGAAATTGATCTTCTTAAAAATATAATATAAAATTAATCTGTAATATAGATAATGCAAAATAAAGATCTAAACTAAAAGAATCTAAAAGAAAAATAACTCAATCAAATTATTATAAAATTATTATTAAAATTATTTAATAATTACTTAATAAAAATTTATAACTTTTATCTAGAAAAAATAATAAAATAATAATATAATTTTATATTTGTTTTATTTAAATTTACTTATCTTATTTTTATAATTTCTTAAAATACATATTTTATTTAATAATTTATTTAAAAATTCAAAATAATTTTTTTATAATATATATAATAAATAATATTTATTAATATAATTAGTTAATATTAATTATATATTAATATTTTAATTTATTTTTTTAATTTAATTATATATTTTCAATTATATATTATAGATTATCAAAAAATTTACACAAAAAATCAAGATAATAATAAATATATTAATAAGAAATTTATATAGAATATCAAGTTAAAAATAATTAGATTATTATAATTAAAGCTTAAAACTTTATTATAATTATAAATTATTATTAAAAATATAAAACAGAAATAATATCTTTAAATAAATTATAATTATATAAATTAATAATAATTAATAATATATAATATCTTTAAAAAATACTTATTAATATAGAAATAAATAATTATAATAAAAAATATAAAAAGAATAATATATTAACTATATTAATAAAACAAAAATAAAAAAATTTTTCATTAAGAATATCTTTATAATTATATTACTATATAATTTATCTTGACAAAAGTAAAATAATTATAATATAATAAGTTATATATAGTATAATATATAATATAATAATAATTTATAAACTAAATATTAATTTATTATATTGATAATAAAATTCTTAATTAAATAATATTATATAATAAATAATATATTTTTTATTAAAAATTTTTAATTTAAAAATAGAAGTTTAAAAATATATATTAAAAAATAATTTAATTTATAATTTAAAAATAGAAATTTAAAAATATATATTAAAAAATAATTTAATTTATAAAGCAAAATCTTTTAAAAAAATTAAATATAATAATATTAAAGAATTATTAATTTTATAATCTTGTATAATTATAATAAATTATATAATTTATAATTTTAATTTTTTAATTATTTGCTTATTTATATATATATTTTAAGTTATTTTATTAAGTTATTTTATTTTTTTAATATTATTTATATTCTATTTTGATATTTTTTTAATATTATTACAATTTTTAATCTTATTTAATTTATCATTAAATAAATTCTTTTTCTAATTACTAATTTATTATTTTATTAGTAATAAATTAATAATGTGAATTATTTTTAATTTTATTTTGTATATTTTTAATTTTATATTTATATTATTATTTATTATATTTCTTTTTTATTTTTAGTAGTTACATTATATAATTTAATATATTTATTTTCAAGTTTGTAATTTTAAATAATAAGTATTTTTCAAATAATTTTAAAATTTAATAATAAAAAATATTAAATAAATATCTAAATTTTCTTGAATTAAATTCTATTATAATAATTTTTATAATTATAAAATTATTTAAATAAAATTTTTTTAAATTATAATAATTTATTAATTAATAATATAATAATTATAAAATTTTAAACTTATAATATAATAAAATTTTATTTAAAAAAATTATTTTTTTAAATTTTCTGTTAATTTTAATTTATTTCTTAAATTTATAATTTTATTATTTATATTAATTATTAATTATTAAATATTTACTTAATATTTCATATATAAAATAAAAATTACCTGTAATATAAAAAATTAATATATATATTTTTATTTATTTTCTTTATTTATATTAAATAAAAATAATATTAGTTAAATAATAAATCAAAATTTTTATACTAATTTAAAAAGCTTATTTTATTTAGATAACATTCAAAAAAATATAAGTTAATTAGTTAATCATAATTAAAATTTATATAATTAATATGTTTTTTTATTAAAATCAAGACAAGAATATTTATATTTACTTACTAAAACTCAAGAAAATCATATATTTCATTATATTACTAATAAATATTATATAATAATTATAAATATTAAAAAAATTCTAAGAATAAAAGATAATATTAATATTAGTATTAATATAATTTATCATAATTTTATTAAATATAATCTTAAAATATATATTAAAAAAATTATTGCTTCAAAAATAAAATTATAAAGCTTATTTAATCTTTATAAAAATTATTAAAATTAATTTATTAATAATTGAAAAAAGATAATCTGATTAAATAAAAATTATTTAAATCAAATAGTAAATAATATTATTAGTATTATAATAAAGAAATATTAAAAGATAAATTTATAAAGCCAATCATAAAATTTAAGAATGAAAATATAATAATATTACTTTAAAATAAGATTAAAAATCTTTGTAAAATTAATAGTAATATAAATAAAAGTCTTTATAAGCAAATTCTATTTAAGAATTTTTTAAAATAATTAATAACTATAATTTTGAGAAATCTAAGTTATATTTTAATATAATAATAATTTTAAATACAAGATATTAACTATTCAAGCCTGACTTATAAAAAATAAAATTAATATTTTCAAATAACCTATCTAATTTTTAGATCTTAATTCTATTGAATATTTACAAGATAAGTAAATAAATAGCTGTATTATAATCAGATACAAATTTCTAATAAAGAAATATTTTTGAAGATTCTATAATAGATTTGGAAAGAAATTAAAGTTCAAATCTGTTATAAGTTAATTAAGAGTTTGTCACAAAGAATTTGATATAATTTATGTTAAGTTATATAAGATGATAAATTTTGATTGTATTATATAACAAAATTATGAAATCATGAAATTTGTAAATAAAGTTCATTAAATTAAAAAATTTTAAAATTAACTGAATGTTTAATCTAAATAATCATTTATAATTAGTTTAAATTATTTTAATTTACAAAATTTATCATTGTTGTATTAGTGAATAATGAAAAGTTTAAGTTTAAAAAATTTCATTCAAGTGATTCTATAATTATAGAAGCCACTATATTTAGTCAATTAATTCAGAACTCTAAACTAAAGAATTGCTATAGTCAATTAATCTGACTATAAACTGTAGAATTGAGTATAGATATATTTTTGATTTTAATTTTACATTTTGAATTTATTGAGTTGAAGTTAGATAATATCTCTAGTATAAATGCAATTTCTGCATTTGTGTTTACATTACTGATTCTTCTTTTTACTCTTTTGTTTCTTTAGTTCCTTATCTTTATCCTCTTTATTCTGTCCCCTTCTGTTCTACCTTTTTCCCTTTTTATCTCTTGTTAGTAATACAGTCTCTCTGCTATTATAGTAGTAATAGGCATAGAATTTAAGAATACAAAACTCATAATTTTCACAGTAAGTCTTTAGAACAATTGAATCACACTCTTCATTGTAAATAATTCAGTCTTGCACTCAGCCCTTGTCTATTAATTAATCATAACGATAAAAGATATTAATTAAAAACATTGCCACGAAATCAAAAAAGTCAAATTCATATTAAGTATTGAAATCTTGTCTTTATCGCTATGACTTTCAATACAATGTTAAAACGATAAGAGAATTAATTCTTAGTATTTTGCAAAAAAATTAATTAAAGTTAAATAATAAATAACGTTAAATCTAAACCTATAGTATTTCGTGATTTTTATATTTTGCTAACTATAACCATAAGAACAATATGTTTGTTCTAGAAATTTAAAGTGAAGTTTCGATTCTATAAAAACTAACTTAACGTCAAGAGATTTAATGCATTCAATGTGTTTTGTGAAAATTTCTGTTCCAGATTTAAAAACACTTCGTTATTGAATCTTAAGAGATAACGTCTTAAGTCAACAATGGACAGAATAACACGGGATTATTAAAATATAATGAATTTTTATTAAAAGTTATATTGTATGTATCTTAAAAGTCAACAAAGAAATTTTTGAAATTACTTTATTTTTTAAAAAGGAAATGAAACATTGAAAACTTTAATTAACATATTGTTTCTAAAACGAAAGCAAAGTCTAAAAAACAAGAATTGGATTTTTACAAAGATGCCGTTTTTGTTTTTTTGAAGATCGAATACCTAATAGAATCTTTAGATTCTTTAGATTTTTTAGATTCTATTTGATTTTCATTATTTTTGTCTTTCCCCATTAATTGAACACGTAAACCCATCTTATCCTTCACAATCATCTTTTCTTCTAGAAAACCTAGATCACTCGAAGCTAAATGATGACAACCGACTGACAGAAATTCCTCTAATCCTTCCAAAGATTCCCAATCTCTAAGAATTGCATGTCGACCATCGTAAAAACAACAATATCGAAATTTAATCTTAATTAATGATTTCGGTCGAGTTTTAAGTGTTTCCAATATTTCGGTTAATCCTACATCTATATTTGCGAATTCCACTTCTTCGAGATATTTCAATTGATGAACTAAATTTGACGCACAAACAGCGTATTTCAATTGGTCATCGGGATACAAATATGAACCGAAATTTCGAAGTCGAAATCTCAATTTACGAATTTTTGGGTGCTGTCCACCCAGCATAGCAAAAAATCCTTCGATATGCTCGTTTGGTAGTATCGCCCAATGCTGTGCCGAAATAGTCACTTCTGCTAGATTTGAAGCACGACGAATCATTTCTTTTATGAGCGCATAACAGACTCGGTTATGGCCGATCGGGTAAGCAAATCCTTCATTCAAGTAAGGGAATAATATATTAACCGCAGTAATCACATGACGGTCGTTCATATTCTGAAGAAATGCAATGTAGTCAAATGTTGGCGAGGAACGGAGTTTAGGTATCCGGACATTCCAAGTTTTTACCGCAGCCATATCGTCGCCGGTCACATATGCAAAGTAAACTCGAAGTAATGAACGTATTTTATCTTGATCTTGATCTTGATCCCAGGTTGTAGGCAATAGTTCGAAAGGATTTCTCCATAAAATAGGTACGGTTGTACGACACCAATCACGACTTACGAGAAGAGTGGCATAAAGAGAATTTTTATCGTTTGCTAAATTCTCGATGATTTCATGGAGTACATCTATAGGTAGACGTGGGCGATGATATAGAGAAGGAGATGAAGATGATATTGGGAATATGGATTTTGACGATTTTGTAACTGTTGATGGTATGTTGATGGTTGTAATAACAGATGACGATAATTCCATAATTGATGATTTGATTTAAAAAAATAAGTGATGAAATAAAAAGCTAAATAGAATAATAAATTTTTTGTATTTCTTAGTGATAATATTAGTCGTTTATTTTAAACTGTTTGGCTGTATATTTTTGTGGTAGAAACAAACGGCACTTATTATCCAAGTCAGGAAATGTTTGAAATAATAGTAATCATCTGTATCACAATAGTGTGTACATCTTTTTATATCAAATTAATCTTTTGGAATTAAGAAATTACGAATTAAAAAATTTTGACTTTAAAATAATTGTTTAAACGAAACCATAAAAATTCAAATAAATTTAGTGTTAGTTTTTTGCTCTATACATTAATAACTAAAAAAAGGAAACGGTAATATTACAAAGCAACAATAGTCAAACAATCCAGTGCAGTGGTATCGTTAGGCTGTGCACACGGTCGTATTGTTGTGAGTGTAACATTTTTCTCATATTACTTTTGACCAATCGGATATAATTTTTGACCGATATATTTTTACCACTCGCGAGTACACTTCAATAAAAAAACGGAAGATGGACTTTATATGTATTTGTTAATACAAAAAAAAACCAACAATCTATTTTTGAATAACTTCAACATGGTCTTAGTTTTAGAACGACGAGAACAACTAATAACATATGTGAAGCACTCGTAGTTGTTTAAGAGAGCATATCGATAACATATTCTAACATTAAATAATTTACAAGTATAGAGATATTATAATATACAATTTATAGGTTTTATACATTAAAAAACCACATATATAAATTTAAAGAATAAAAATCTTAATAATATTATGAATCCAAAATTTGTGCTTCAATCCCCGACATCCCTTTATAAGTTTCATAAATAACACGCGTAGGTTGTTGTCTTAATGCACGAACAACTTTCTGTCGTTCTTGAATGGTAAATTTATCATTCGAATCGAAAGCCAATGCTCGGTCAAGATCCCAAATCGCTTCGCTGTATTTTCCCAAGCCACGATTTAGTGAACCACGTTGACTTAATGCGAAAAAGTTATCTGGGTCTAGATGTAACGCTTGATTCAGATCGTACATTGCTTGGTCAAATCGGCCGAGAATTCGAGCTACTGCACCTCGATTTGCGAAGGCTAATGTTTGATAACGTCGTCCGAATGCGTCTATGGGGTGATTTTGTAATGCAGAGTCAAAATCGGTTAATGCGCGATTATAGTGTTTCATTAATCGGTATATGCTACCACGTATAACTAGAGGGAACCATTGATGTGGTGCAATTTCTAGAGCGTCGTCCAGATCTCTGATTGCTTCATGATAACGCTCTTGTTTCTCATAGACTTGTGCACGGAAACAAAGTGTCCAAGCATCTTTAGGATGTGTAGTTAATATATTATCAAAGTCAAAAAGTGCTTCATTATATTTTCCCATTGCAAAATAAACTGATCCCCGACTACGTAATGCATCGCGATCAATGGGACGTATTTCGAGTGCTTCATCCAAATCTATTAACGCCTCGTAGTAAAGTTTCTTCCAGAAATAAACATCACCTCGAATTGCAAGTGCATGGAAATTTCTTGGATTCTTTTGTAAAATTTTACTAAGGTCTGCAAGAGCTTCATCGAAATTATCTAATTTACGATAGACGGCTGCCCGACTCATTAATGCAGCTGTTGGATCCATAGGTTGTAAATGTAGAGCTTTATTTAAATCTTCTAATGCTTCTTCATAGTGTCCAAGCAAACGATATACATCTCCACGAATACTTAATCCAAAAGGATCGTCTGGCTCTAATTCCAATAGTTTATTTAAATCCGAAAAAGCGCTATCGTAATCTCGAATCTGTGCATATATAGCACCACGATTTTTCAATGCAGTCAAATTGTTTGGTTCTAAATCCGATACTGTCAAGAGATCATTGATTGCTCGATCGAAATTACGTTGTAAACGGTGAACATCAGCACGCAAAAGTAATGCATCGATATTCGTTTGATTCAATTCCAATAATCTGTCGAGATCATACAATGCGTCATTTAATCGTTCTAATTCTAGATAAGAATTAGCTCGAATTGTATAAATTAAATTTTGATCCTCATTTTCTTGGGCATAAAGTAATGCTTGTGATAAATCCGGAATCGCAGCCAGATAATTCTTTTCAAGATAAAAAATTTCACCGCGTATTCTATATGCTGTCCCATTTTTAGGCGCAATTTTTAGCACCTTATCCATATCCTTGACACCGTTTTGATAATCCTTCAATTTTAGAAAAATACTTGCGCGCGCAATCAATGCTTCAATATGATCATGTTCAATTGATAACGCTTTATTGGCATCGATCAATGCTGCTTCATAAACCTCTTTCTGATAGCTAATTATGCAACGCAAATACCATCCACGTGATTTGTGAGGCTTACGGTAAATTGCGTCGTCTAAATCATTATACGCTTTTTCAAATTCTTTTAATTTCAAATATGCTGATGCTCGATCACACAAAGCATTATAGCTACCCGGATATTGTTCTAAAACTTTGGTGAAACATTGAATTGCTTGATAATATTGTCCTTCCTTAATTGCCAGTTCACCATTTTTTTGTGACGAATTAAATGATTTTGGCCCACGGAAAACTACAGGTGTGGAGTATCGCTTAATATTTGAGACTGGAAGAGAATTGAGGATTACTTTAAATGCTCCACTCAATCGACTGGATTTATCATTTTCTTTTTCTGCATTTTCTTTCTCGATATTATTGTTGCTAATGTTCTCAAAGTTATCAAATTTATATATTTGCACGGGATGTTTGTCCCCCAATCCAATTGCGCTATGTCTTTGAGGGCTTTTTAATGGCAAAGGTTCAGAAAAAAATGTCATTGATTGTGGCCTTGGTTTGTGTCGACCCTGGGGCTAAATTCATAAACCGAGTTTATATTGTTAGTTAATGTTGCTGCCTGAAATCAATATTTTAAATATAAATAATTTAATATAATTTCTCACCTCTCGAACTCGAATACCTGCCATATCATCAGCACCTGCTTTCCAAATGACATTGTTAGCATTCGCTGCATTCGTATGAATTTGCTTCTTTTCCAATATAACAGAATTTCGATCTTTTTTAATTATAATTGCGGGATTTCTTGAAAGTTTTGAGGTCGATTGTTTCGACATTTCCAAGTTATGAGATGTAAAAAACAGAGATATAGAAAAGGATAAAAAATCAAAAAAAAAAGGAGAATAACGATAAATGAAGTGATTTAGATCTCGTGGTCATTCGATCCATTTCGCAAATTCCCCCTGAATATATATATATATATATATGTAATTTATCATATTTAATAATCCACTGGAATGTGATTAAAATAGAATCTGTTGTAATTGCTTTATTCGTATCGTATTCTTTTCGGGTGTAACTGAATAATTTAATTCTTTGCTTTTGATTAACAGTGGTGGAACTATTTACACGCAAAATGACATCGATCATTTTGCTTCCTTTTTGCTATAAATAGTTCATGTTTCTGTTATTTGTAATCAGCCATTAACCCTAGTTTTTAATTTAGTATCAATTACAAATCCACTCTTTGTTATTATTTCATTGTCAAACAATGCACAGGTGAGATAGATAATAAAATAAGTATGAGATATAATAGATAAAATTTCATTGAAAAGGTGCTCACTTTCAACTGGTTTGCGCCAACTCTTTTTTAGTTTTTTTACGAAGCAGGGGATTTTCCGCGAAGAATGTGTTGTCGTTTTAGAACTATCACTGATTGTGTGACGCAAAAAAAAAGAAGCAACAGTTACTATTATTATCGAATGAAATTCTGTGGCATTGTTCGAAAGGCAAACACAAATTTGATCACAGTCCTTTAACAAATTTAGAGATTGAGCTGAAACCAGAAAGCAACGAAGACTATTTCTTTCATGTTTAACACGCGTTTAATTCTGTACGAGATTAAGATTTTCTTTAACCTATAAAGGAAATCAAATACGACTTTAAATTTCAGGTTTTTTGCAACATTATGTAACATAATGTTTCATTCGATCATAAAATACGTAATTACGTTCCACACAAAAGAATCTTTTGAGTGAAAGTTTCACAAATTCTGTTCTTACTACATGTACCAAAATCAAAAATCCAAAGAACTTATTCTATTCCACATTAATCAATTCGCAACTAATTTCTAGACTTTATTTCTTCAAAAAATTTTAAAACATAAATTTTGGATCTATATCATAATTTAATAAAGAGAATGAGCAATTTAGTTTTGGTCGCCAAAACATTTTAAATCAGTGTGATTTGGATGAAGATTGCGCGTATCTCAGCAATTCTCGCTTATCGAATAGAAAATCAACCATTTGGTTATCTACTTTTCTTATAATATTTATAACTTTGACAATAAGAAGGTGATTAGTGATTTAGAAAATCAAGTACTGGAAAAAGCAATCAAATCGAAACAAAACCTATTTTATTGAGTTCAATCATCAATGATTTATAGACTTGTCGGTTTCTGATACAATGCTATTGAATGATACAGAATTGAGAACAATACTCTCTTTAAGCATCATCTATTTTATTCTTCAACTATTCTTAAACCTGATTATATTATTATATAACACGACAAACTTAGAATATTGTGTACTCATGCATTATTTGCAATAACGATAATCTTATACATGTGTTTATTTTAAGAAAACCATGCTCTTCATTGATTCTTTGTACATGTACAATACATGTACAGTATGTATATATTGTATAACGAAATTATTGGAAGTTATCGTATGCTATGTAACGATGTTTCCTAGTTTTTTGAACCGTAGTCGAATACATGTACATAGTATTTTTCAAATATCGAACAAAAAATAAACTCAGCAAATATTGTTAATGTTAAAGAGTCGCAATTCGAAGGTAATAACAATGACGTAGCGGCATTAATTAAATTTCAGCTGTATTACAAAGATAATTTACTCATTTACTATTGAGAATACTACCTGGGATAATTGTTCAAGACCTGAGATTTTCCCAAACCACCCCCTTGCAATATGAGGTAATATATGACACTACCACTTAATGCAATCAGATTTCTTTAAGACACTCAACTTTATGATAATCATCATATTCAAAATGATCAAAAACTCTAAATTTCTGCTAATTATTCTAGAAGTTTGATTGTAGTTTCTTTGAATTCTCTATTAAAAAAAAGATAATTATAAACAATTTTTCTGGATAAGAATTTTGAAATTTATCATAAAGAAGGCATATTTTTAGAATAATTCTATATTTAAGCAAAGTGATTTGCTACTGTACTATCTTATTTTTTACTTATTATTTACGAGAACTATAATACCTACAAATTAAAAAATAGAATTACTCATTTTGATAATCTTTATTTTTTAGAAATCATAATTTTTCCAGGATAATTAGATTCTTCTAACTTTCTGATTTAAATTAAAAAAAAGAAATCAGATTTTTATTTTCTTATTCTTTATTATTTGAATAATAAAGCTTTATTATATTATTTCTTTATTGATTATATAATAAATTAATTGATACTTTAAAATAAAATCTATTAATAAAGTTAACTCTTTTTATTATAATATATTTAAATTAATAAAAGTATTTAGATATAAAGTATTAATAAAAATATTTAAATATTTATATTTAATATTATAATACAGTCAAATCTCCCTAAATGCATATTCTATAAGTGCACACTCTTTATAAATGAATCCTTAAGTCTGGTTCCTAGCTTATACTATAGTGCTAAATACATATTCTCTATATTCTATATGTGCAGTAAATTTTTAAATAAATATATTTAAAATATCTTTGTAAGTGTACTATCACATAATTTTTAATATTGATCAATAAAATTTAAAAATTACATATAACGTAAAAAAATAATAAATCAATGAATTACCATATTATGATTCATCATTTTGCATTCTGATAATTTCTAACTTTCTTGTCATCATAACTTAATTTTAGTATATGATAAAGAATTTTTGTAAGTAAAGAATTAGTAAAATTAATTTTCATGATCATAATCATTCTGAATTTGGAATAAAAAATTAATTTTTAAAAAATAAATAATAAGTTTCTTTCATATATCATTTGTTAATAATGTCAAAAAAAATTACTTTAATGGATGCTCAAAAATATAAGCTATATATTTATGCATATAATAATAAAAGAATCTGTTCCAAATATATAAAATCAATTTAAGATAAATAGAGAATTAAAGTTAATGAATTTATAATTATCTGAATTTTTCAAATCAAAGAAAAATAACTTTCTAATGAAGTTATAAGTCTAGAAGCTAAGTATTATAAATATATTACCATTTCAGAACTTGAATTGATATTAAAGAAATTTGTATTAATTTACCAGTATTAAATAATTTTAAGCAATATCATGATAATTGAAAAAGCCAAATTATTAACAAATAAACTTGAAATTCTTGAAGATAAGTTATAATTTTCTTTTGGATAATTACAAAAATTTAAGAGCTAAAATGAAATTCATAAAAGAAAGCTTTATAAAAAGATATCTTTTATTGATTAAAATATTATTATTGAATTTTTACCATTATTACAAAATATATGCATTGAATATTCTCTTGATCATATTTATAATATAAATAAAACTAGACTTTTTTACTGATAAGTTTTTAATTTTTTTTAATTAATTTTTTTTAATTCTTATTATATTAATTTTTTATCATATTACAGATTAGAACTAGATCAAATCTTAGTAATATGATATTTTGCTAGATATAAAAAAATAAAAAGTATCTTTCTATAATATTTTATGCAAATGCTAATAATTCTTATAAATTAAATTCTCTTATAATTGACAAATATATCAACTCTTAATAGTTCAAAATATAAATCTTAAGAATTTACTCATAATATATTGAAATAATATCAAGACTTAAATACTTATAATTTTTTTCAAGAGTGACTTTATGAATTTGATTATTAAATCTTCTGAAAGTATAATAATTAGCATATTCTTTTACTTTTTAATAATTATTCTAGTTATATTATGACAGATTTAACTCTTTAATATGTAAATATATATTTTTTCTCTCTAAATATAACTTTAAAAATATAATTAATAGATATAAAAATAATTATAATTTTTAAAAAAGCTTAATATTATTTTTATCTCTAGTTAATATTTTTATTCATCTATTTAATTTTTTTTATTTATTTATTTATTTATTTTATTTTTTTATTAATATTTATTTTAATTTTTTTTAATTTATAGGTAAATTTTAGAGTAAGTTGAAGTAGATAATCTTATTCAAGATTTAAAATAAAAATTCTATAAGTAATTTAATATATAATTAAGACTTAAAAAGAAGTTTTGATCAAAATTATATATAATTATTAATATTATACAAGAATTCTTACAGTTAGTACTAATACTAATATTTATAATTTTTCTAATAATATTTATAAAACTGATAATTCAATATTTAATAAGCTTATTAATATACTTAATATATTTTATTTTTTTAATATAATGAATATTAATGAGTTTCTTACTATTAATAATAAGAATTTTATTTATAAAGTTTTTTCAGATAATCAGATTATTAAAAAACTTATATATATATTCAAAAAGAATAAAAGTATAGAAAAAAATATTAAAATAATAGATAAATAGAAGAATAATAGTATTAAAATTATAATTATTAATAGTAATTTAGTATTAAAAAATTTAGAATATATTTAAATATTTTTGCTTCAATAAGAGAATTCAGATAAATAATTAAGATTAATTAATATTCTTGAAAAATTTATTAAAAAAAAATAATTAGTTTAGCTTATCAAACTTATATAGATAAGTATTTTAAATAAAGAAAGAATTGACTTTATTATACTAATAAATCATAATATTGCTTGTTTATTTTATCAAATTAATTAGTAATTGATTAATTATTATAATTTCTCTAAATGCATATCCTCTCTAAATGTATATTCTCTTTAAATATATATTTATGATCAGTTTTCAGAGAGATATACTTAGAGAGATTTGATTATAATAAAAAATTTTGAAATTATATTTATAATAAAAAAATAATAAATATAAATAATATTATTTTATAATTAAAATGTTTATATTATAATAATTAGAATATAATTAAAATATTATTCTTATA